ATCATTTCAGCCACATAGAATGATTATATATCATTTTTTTTACAAATAAGCCTTTATAGTAAGAATGTATAGGGAAGTTTTCATATTAAATTCAAATTTGTTCTTGGGGAAGAAACTCTAAAGCTCAAGTGTATGAGGTTGAAGGTAATAGAATAGAGCTTCTATTATTCAAAAAAATAAGTTAAGAAGAATAGAACTTCCATTTCTTATCCGTAGGGATGATAACCTATAAGGGCATTCACATACATACACATATTTGATATGTATTTATATATCAAAAACCTAAACTTTACTTTTTAAATTTAAACGTCCAAATTCTCTAAAACACATAAAAAAATACCACTATTTTTAATTTTTGTAAAGTAATTATACCTTTTTATGCATATATAAGCTTTCATTTATCAATATAATGTGTGCAGATGCATATATATATATATATATATATATATATATATATTATCAGTTGAAAATTATTGTTGACTTCAAATCTATGACATTGTTGGTTAAATTGGTCATGATTTCATGCATGTTAGAAATTTGTTGGCTTTTCATTAGTACACTCGTCACTCTCTACAAGCTTTGTTGCATCTTCTTCACCCTTGCAACAACAATTTTTTTCTTTTCTCTCTCATTTGTTTTGCAAAACCCTAAATCATGTCAGTCTTTTATTTAATTTTTCCAACTCCTGTTATGACCGCACATCCATTATTTCATGTCTTGTTAGGCATAACAACAATTTAAAAAATATTTTTTAAAAGGAATGGGATAAAATGTGAGACTTGACAAATGTCTTCTTTTTATTGGAGTCCGAATATATTTCTACATTTGAACTTTACATGTGGTACTTTCTCCAGTTGCACTGGGTAACGAGGAGAGTTTAAGTTTCATTTTTATAGTTTTTTTCTCATATATGTAATAATATTACTTTTGTCTTTATATTATGATTCATGAGTTTTTAATAATAGTTTTGACTCTACTGGGTTACAATTGTTAAATGTAATTCCTTTGGTTAAGTTTAAGAGATATTATGATTAAATATTCGAAAGGTTTAAATTGATAATTCAGATAATAATTTATGAGTGTTGGAAGATTCACAATGATAAAATGATTATTTAGTGCCTTTGCGTTGTACGAAAGTCCAACGCACACTTAAATAATAGAAGTAACAGGTAGAGATATCAAATGTATTTATGTGGAAAACTCAAAAAGTGAAAAAATCATGAGACTTAGCCCAGTGAAAATGACCTGCTACAAGTTAGTGATTACACGTTCAGGCTCTTGTTCCACTTGTAATAAAGGGTTGCGTTGTTCCTTGTAATACAATGTTCATACGCCAAAGGAATTGTTGTGTAGCGGTCGGGAGCAGTTGTAGTTAGAAGTGGTCAGAGCGTATTGTCTTTAAAGTGCATCATTGCACCATGCTTAAAATGATGTGTTGATTTGTAGGATGTTTTTTTACTTCATAAAATTGGTGGTTACTATGCACAATGTTTCAAGACTCCTTAACATATATCTTAGAATCTACATGGGGCTTCACTGAAACAAGCGAGGGGTGCCCAGTGGTGGTCGACGTTGGTCAACAAGTGGTGGTCATTGGCTAAAGGAGCATGAAGCATTTGTTGGGTCTTCTACCAAGAATGATGCATGAATTCAACTCCCAATTCTTGCCTCCATGGCTTATGAACGTTATAATAGCTCGTGTATCTATTAACTTCGACCTCTATGGCCTACAAATATTATCACAAATTACCGTTATAACCAACGTGACCAACTATGGCCTACGTGGTCCACAACTCATGTAGCTTCTAACTTTAGCTTCTGTAGCTCACATATGTTATCACAACTTTGGAAACTCCCAACTCTAGCCTCTATGGCCCATAGATGTTATCATAGCTTGAGCAGCTTTTAACACCAATCTCTACAACCACAAATACTATTACAACTTGTGCAGCTCCCAACTCTGGCTTTGCGACCATGAATGCTATCACAACTCACCAAAATGACCTACTTGACTAACTATAGCCTATATGGTTCACAGCTCATGCAACTCCCAACTCCAGCCCCTACTACCTGTGGATGTTATCTTAGCTCATGCAGATCCCTACTACAAACTATGTGGTTAATCAACGCTTTTGAAGCAACCCTCTATGACTCACATGAACAACTACTAGCATGTCTTTCAACTACGACCTTTATAACAAAATGATGCTATAGTCGCCATCTACAACATTCACGATAAACGATTGCCTTCATAGCAATCTAATATGACATTCACAATTCGTTACGACTATTATTGATAAAATATTATTGTAGATCAACTTTGCTGCCAAGGCGTGACCATTTTTCTGTACTTGGCTCTCCACGCATGGGGAGTTATCTGATGGTTGTAAGGAGTTTGAAGAAAACTATTGAACTCACTCGAAGACTGGAGGAAGGATTTTGAAGCTGAAGGAAGGTAGAGGATTCGTAGGATACATAGGATTTTCATTATTTTCATTTTATAGAGAGATGAGTGAGGGTTTTGAGAGAAGTTTGTAAGGGAAGTCTGCAGCAATGCATGGAGATTTTGGATTCATCTTTGGGAAAACTTTTCAACTCTTTCCAGAGGAGAAAAGCTAAGTATCATATTTCTATTTGTATTGAACCTGTTGTAAACACATATTTTATTTAATTGTTATGTTAAATAATGATGATTTCAATTGCAATCTTCATGCTTTGTGAGTGTATTCCTTTACTTTTCTCTTGTGATGAATAAGTATAAATTGTAGGATGCGTTGAATGCTTTAGAATTGGATTTTAATACTAATGTGATAATAATTCCTTCCATGCTTCATTTACCTTTTGTACTAGCCATACAAATGGTTAAAACTTGTTGTTAACCCATAAAGACTTTGAAAAGCTATGACATAAGCAACAGTGAGGTCACATTGTTCGATAGGCTATGTTGAAGTACTCTATAGAGCAATGAAAATAGATGGGGAGATAAGTTTTGATGGACATAACTTGGATGTTTCTAGGGTGATAGGCAGAAACACTTACCAGGTTAAATCAAACTTTTTTATGCACTCGTAAGAGGGTAAACAAGATATATGCTCCTATTTGTCACTAGCCATATTAACATTCTTGGTATTTAATCCTACAATCTATTTATGCAATCACAAGAGAAATCTATATTTCATACCTATAAATTCACCAAAACAATTGATATATGTTACTTAGTTTTTAAATTAATGTTGTAGTTTATAAGTAATTGTTAGAAAAGCCATTTCAATTTGCATTCCAAACGAAGACCTTAGTTAAGTAAATTAAAACTTCTCTAATTAGATTCATTATCTCTTTCTTTGTGGAATCAACAATCCAGACTCACTAGAGCCCTGTATTATTGAAATGATGCGTTGCGTGAAAAACCTTAATATGTAGGAAAATCTGATTTTATGAATTGAATCAATTTGCTAGCGAGTAGACTAAGTTTTTTGGTGCTATTACCAGGAATTACATTATTATGGTATTAGCTGAGGTGGATCAGCTATTCCAAAGATGATGTAGCAACTCACCATAAAGACAATGCAACAATGCACCCTAAAGATGGTGTAACAACACCACCCCAAAGATAGTGCAAGTCAGGTGCAATGATGCACCCCAGATATATTGTAACAAAGTGCCCCAAAGATGGTGCAACGACGCTACCCTCAAAGACGGTACAAAAATGCATCATATTAAAGGCACAACAATGCACCCCCTAAGATGGTGTAATGGTGGCCCCCTAAAGATGGTGAAACAATGTACCCCGAAGACGGTTTGACAATACACCTTAAAGATAGTGAAACACCATACCTTTAACATGGTGTAACTTTACACCCCGAAGACGGTGCAGTAACACACCCCAAAGTCCATGCAACAACACACCTTGAAGACGATGTAGTGATGCACCCCAAAGATGATGTAATAACACACTCCTAAGACGGTGTAAAGATGCCACCTTGAAGATAGTGCAGGAATACATCACAAAGATTATGTAATCATGAGCTCGAAAGATGGTGCAATAACGCTCTTCGACGCCGGAGTAATATTGCACTTTTAGTATAGTGGAACTCACTGCTATAGCCTACGTGACCAACTACGATCAACGTGTATAACCACATAGCTCTCAACTCAAGCCTTTGTGGGCCACATATGTTATTACAACTTATGCAACTCTCAACTTTGATCTTCGTGACTCACAAACATTATCAGAGCTATGCAACTCCTAACTCTAGCCTTTGTGGCACATTGACATATCATATATCATGCAACTCCTAACTTTGACCTCTGTGACCTATGGACGTTCTCACAACTCACTGTTAAGACCTCCAAGTCCAATCATGACTTAAGTGGTCCACAGCTCATGCAGTTTCCAACTCCAGACTCTGCGGTCCGCAGATAATATCATAGCTCTAGTAGCTCCAAACTTCGAACTCTACAACCAAAGAACATTATCATAGCTCATGCAGCTTCTAACTCTAGCTTATGCAACCACATACATTATCACAGCTTGTGCAACTCCCAACTTTAGCCTTTGTGACTTACGAATGTTCTCAAAGCTCATAACTACGATTTACGTGACCAACTATGATCTACATGATCCACAACTCATGCAGCTCCCAACTTCGAGATCTATAACTTGTGAATATTAACTCAGCTCTCATAGCTCCCGAGCTCTTAAAACAATCTTATACGACCAACATGGCCAACTTTAACTAGAACTTTTAATTACAACTTCAACATTCACGATAGACTACCAGCTCTATACCAATCGACTACAACTTTTGAAATCTGTTACAACTATTATTGCTAAAATACCATTATACATCAAATTTGTAATTCTTTCTTTCCTAACTCAAGAGAAGAGTAAGCCCATGTTTTCAACATTATATAGTAGATTATTTTAATTAAGTTAGACCCAATATTTTTTTCTCTTCCTAGAAATGTTTACATATAAAAATTATGGTGTCTTGCTCTTATTTAATTTTCTTTTCGTCTGAGTGTCTGCGTAATCACTCAGCGTCGTGAATCTTCTATCGCTCCATTCGGCTAGATTTTGCAGCCCTAAATTACAGTTTTTTGCTTGCTTACTCCGCTTGCAGAGGAACAAAAACAAGAGGGCAGGAATCAAGAAAATGGAGCGACAATGGGCGGAGAAGGATTTCCTGAGTTGCAGTGGCAGCACTAAACTTGCCAGAGAGATGGCCGCGGCCGCCCCCTTCGCCGATCTCGATCACGCTATCCAATATGCTAGAGATATTTGGTTCAATAAGGTCTTATCTTCTTCTCTCCTCCGTAAACCCATTCTTCTTCCTGTAAACAATTTCCTCATCTCGCTTTATCCCTTTCCAGGTCGATGTGAAGGGCTGGCTCGAGTCCTTCGCCGCCCATCCTGAAATCGGATCAACTTCGAAGCCCATATCACAGTTGCGATTCCTTTTTCTGCATCCAATTGTGTGCTGGTTGTTCATTGTTTATTAAAAGATTATCTGATTGATTTGGTGAATTTGTTGCTGATGGGTTAGATGGAGTAAGGAGGAGCAGTCCACTGCGATAGCGACTGCAGATGGTTCCACCATGCAGGCAATATTTTTTTTCTTCTTGCTTGGTTTTATGCTTTTATTTGTTCCAGAATTATATTGTGATTTAGTGGGTATTGATACGGTAATTCCATTTGGTTTTGTAGGAATTGTTTGAGTGGAATGCTCGGTATAAGGAGAAATTTGGATTTGTGTTTCTCATATGCGCTTCTGGAAGGAGCTCTCCGGAAATTCTAAACGAGTTAAAGGTGGGATAATGTGCATACTTTTTTAACCGGTTTTTAATTTGTCTCCAATGCCGGGACTGGGTACCTATCACTAAATTATCTGAATTTGATGATTAAGTAAAGCTAACAAAAATTATTCTCTGGAAATCCTCCAAAGTAGGATTTTTAATTGGTGTTAATGATTCTTGACTGGTCTCCTAGAAACAAGCAATATGGTAATCATGCTAATTATCCTGTAATTATAAAAATAGGATTTTTACTATATATAATTTTCCAGTACACACTGAGATAGTAATGTATGAGGCAATTATATTTTTTACGTGGAAAAACCCAGAAATGGAAAAAATCACAGGGCTTAGTTCAGTCAAAATAATCCAATAGGAAATTGAAAGTACAGAAGTTCACTCTTCTCATAAGTTAGAGAGGATGAGATTACAAAAAAACTAACAATTACTGATTTATGATAGTTATTTTGTTACAATAGTCATTATTGGGCTACAACAGTCATAATTGGGTTACAAGAAATGTAATTAGTGGTTACAATAATAGTAGTTGGCTACAAAAATCATAGGTGATGATTAAAACAGCCGTAGTTGGCTGCAACAATTGCCTTAGTTCATTTGTAGTCTTTAATGCAGTGCAAACCTAGGGATAGAGAACTTTGGCACACATTAGCTCTGTTTAAATTTAAGGTATTGGAAGAGAGAGGAAAAGTAGGTGAAGCTAAAATGCTAAAGGAATTAAATTGAAATTTAGGAGTGAAAGTTTGTTTTTGTATTGATTGGTGAGAAATTAAGCTTTATTTTCTTGCAAGAGAGGGTGTGTCAATCACAACAATGACTACATAAAATTTTCTTATTATTTGTCATTAGAGTTGGGTAGTGAGTTTTCAATGGAGCAAATTCATTTGTTCATAATACTTAGGACTGTAAATGAACCAATGCACTTGAAGAAAAATTTGAGCTCGGCTTGATTAGTACTTGATCTTATTTGTTCAAAGCTTTTAATATATATATTTTTTAAAACCTAAAGATTAAATAAACTGAATGTGAACATAGTTTAATTCATTTATTATTGTTCTTGAACAAACTCTTTTGTTGTTCAATAATTAACTTATTAATTATTCTATATTTATATGATATCTAGTTTTAAATAAAATTTGAGTAATTAGAGCTTATTTAATTATATATTTAATAGTAATATATTGTAATTTAATATCAAAATGTATATAAATTTAATGCAATTTTTTTTTTAATTTCAATGAACTATTTGTTAGTACTTATTGATATTATTTAAGTTTATTTATAACTTATATATATATATATATTATTTTATTTACTTAATATAAACTTTTTAAATGCTAATTTAAAATTTATTGATTTAATTTGTAAAATCATTTATTAGTAAATTTATGTTAAAAACCAAGCTCATTCAAATATTAGCTTGTTTACTAGCTTTATGTGAAACACTAAATACAAATAAAATTTTTTTATTTTATATGAAAATTTAAGCACTCATTTGAATTTTTAATTTGTTTATTTAATATAAACAAGCCAAGTACGAATCAAATTTGATCATTAAAAAATTTAAGTAAGCCAGGCATGAACATACATGTGCTCAAGTTCGATTTATATATGAGCAACTTATGACTCGACCAAGCCAAGTCCAATCCATGTCTTATTCAACTCAACTTGACTCGGTTACAACCCTAATAATACTCAACTAAATCCAATTTCCCACCGGTTACATTTAAGCCAAATAATTCATATGAAATTGTGAAGTAAAGTACATTTGCATTCTCACAAATTCTTTCAAAACCAAGTTCCTTAAAAAAAATAAATAATGAAGAGGGGCAGGCGATTAGTGGGGTTCTTCCAATTTTTATGAATTTTCATTCATTTTATGAACTACTAGTACCTTGTGGCAGAGACGGTTTATCAACAGGCCCATTGTTGAGCTTGAGATAGCGGCAGAGGAAGAAATGAAAATAATCGAGTTGCGCCTTAAAAAGCTATTTGATTCTAAGTTGAGAACAAGTTCCTTGCAAACTGCACAAGTATCCGCTAGTAAACATGAAGGTATTACATGGATCCTTTATGTACTTTGTTATGTTTATATCCTTATAATGGTTATATTCATTACAATTTTTATTTGTACCTGTATCTTCTGATAACAAGGCATCCCAAAAGAATATTTTGTCTTTTTTCTTGCATTTTATAAATTAAAGATTCTGTTGCAGTTCACTCATTTCAGATTGAATCATTGAATTTCTCTAGTTAGTTACTAGTGTTTCCTAAGTTTTTTGATCAATTGTTCATGGACAACTTGTGTTTGGTTTGACCTTTCTTTTTTATAAAGTGGTCTAGCGGCCAACCTTATGTATATTCCAAGACTTCTTTGAACTTTGAACGGTTTAATAGGAAATCATTTTTTGATTGTCATACATTTTGAATAGTTCTTTCCATATCATTATTTTTGTTGTGCACTAGAAAATTCTCGACAGTATAGAATTCTTAAGCCTCAACTCATTATAACTTTTCGGCACACGTTGAGATAGTAATGTATGACGCAATTATATTTTTTATGTGAAAAAACTCCGGAAATGGAAAACATCACCGGGCCTAGCTCAGTCAAAATAATCCAATAGGAAATTGAAAGTACATATGTTCACTCTTCCATAAGTTGGGGAGGATGAGATTACAAAAAACAGATAATTGTTGATGTATAGTAGTTGTTTTGGTACAATAGTCATAATTTGGCTACAACAGGCATAATTGGGTTACAAGAAATCTAATTAGTGGTTACGATAATAATAGTTGGCTGCAAAAATCATAGTTGATGACTACAATAGCCGTAGTTGGCTGTAATAATTGCCGGTGATGATCGATAACGATTGATGGTCGTTCACCTGCACTTCTCTTTAAGAATAATGCTTTAGTTGCCAACTCACTCATTTCTTTTCCTTTCCCTTAAGCGATAAATAAAGGCATATTTATAGTTTCTTAGAGAGGCATTTCGATAAATTTAGCTAAAATATCAAAGCACTCCATTAGACCGTTCACATTGATTCCCTTGATCATAAATCATTTTTGCAATATTTAAGTGTCTTAATGAACTCAAAATTATAAATGAAAGTGTGCTCATTGGATTCCTCTCATCGAACTAGATTTGACCATAAGCATGCCAATTTTTGAAATCATTTGACATTACGATAAATGCAACAAAGTTTTTGAATATACTTCTAGTATTTTATCTATTTGGGCTCGGATTGGTTTACTTGCATTATCATTGAGCTCATATTGTCGATACACTCAATTTAACTAGAAATTTATTGAAATCAGGGTTGTGATAATCTTGAATTTGAATTTAGAATATTTCTTGCTTAAAATGCATTGAGATTCATTCCGGATGATAAAAATTTCTTGATAACATATCAATTTTGAATTCAGAGCTATTACTTTTGGAGCTTTTTAAATTTAACGAACTCTTAAAGAAATATGACTGATTAGTTGAATGTTCTTTTACCAAATGAAGTATGTCCATATTGCCAAAAAGATAAGGCTCTCAAGTCTTTTATCAAACTTTATGCGGGCAACTTGTGTTTGATTTCACCTTTTTTTCCTTTTTAATTAAAAAAAAAGGTAATAGTATAGTAACTGGCCTTATGATTGAATCGTTATTTGTATTTTGAAGCTAGTATAAGAAGATTGTTGTCCATCTGACTTCTGAATAAATATTTTCATTTTGCTATTTCAAGTTCATGGTTTCGGTGCCTCTCAGTTCAGTATCGGTCAGTTAGCAGTATGTGTGATTTAGTCAGGTATCTATGCAAAATGAAAACCATCCATGCTGACTTACTAACCAAAATGTATTATTTTTTGCTTCTTTTCAGTTTTGATAGGAGATAGGATGACACCATTCTATGGCTCCTAGAAGGTGCTTAAGAGATGGATGTAGAGGGGAGGTAGTTTTGAAATAGCAAGGGAATGAGAACATATGAGGTAGATAGTGTTTGGAAGGGGATAGGAGGCATTTAGTGGTTGTTCGGGCTTGAAATAGATAGAGAACCACAACGCTCTGGCTTCAATGAGGCACGGTTGCCAAGTTCAATCTCCTCTCTAAAGCCATACTTACATATGGTATTTGCATATTCTCATTCCCTTGGCATTTCATAACCATCACCCTGCTAGATCCATCTCTTAAACACCTTCTAGGAACCCTTGAATAGTGTCATAGGATATATCATTTTTTTGTTGAGTTTAGAAAATTCGGCTATTTACACACTGTTTTCCTTTCCCACTTTTGGACCCAAAATATGCCCGTGATGTGTTATATCAAAAAGTGACAAATTATACCTTTCTTTAATGACCTTCATCGGTCAATTATCATGTGATGGAGCAATTATTTGTACATAGGTGACCTCCATTGATATCGAATTGGTGTCTCATGACTGACAATTCTTTCGAGATTTTCTGAGCATGAGGTTCTGATCCACGCTCGATTGAATTTATGAACCGACCCTCGGCTTCTATTCACACCATTTCTTTCTTAGAATTTGACAAATTCAATCAACTTAACGTCGTTTTCATCTTTACTTTTACAGAAAATAGAAACAAAATAAATTTATTTTTATGACCTATTGTTTTATCACAAATTAAATTTTCTTTTTTTGGGGGGATGTCATTACATACACAACACTAAAAATATCTTTATTTACAAAACTAGCACCCACTTGATTTCTTTGAACTACCGAACTAATATATTTACACGGGCTACAATCAAACCATTGATAATTTAATAAAAAGGAAAAATATTGGTTGGCTTTTTATCGTGTTTTTTTTTTGAGTGAGAATTTGAAAAATAGATGAATGATTACACTATACTTGTAAATAGTAATATTTCAAGTGCTATGATGTAATTTCTCCCTTTTCTTCATATTTTATTTTTTCTGACTGAGTTCAATTGGTAGTTCGAGTAGGCATAATTGGAGGGCATCTTACGGCTGTTGCTAAAGTCCTTTCAGAAAAACCAAATGAAACTGCAGGTCAAACTCACCGCACTCGACCTCCGATCACCACACACGTCTTGGATGTTGCCCGTGGCTCGCCGGCATCGGGCCTCGAGGTGCGGCTTGAGATTTGGAAGGGAGATCAGAATTCTCCTTCATTTGGTGAAGCAGATTCAAGAAGCTGGATGTTATATGGCTCATCAATCACAAACTCTGATGGTCGCAGCGGTCATCTGATGCCTATAACTGATGATATTGAAGCTGGATTTTATAGAATAAGCTTCAATACTGGTAATTATAACCCATCTGGGTTCTTCCCTTATGTCAGCATTGTGTTTGAGATCAGGGAGTCTCAGAAATCTGAGCATTTTCATGTTCCATTGTTGCTTTCGCCGTTCTCTTTTTCTACTTATCGTGGCAGTTAGAATGGGGGAGGAACATGCTATATGAAGGAAGTAATTATAAAAATAATTTGCAAACTCTTAGTTCTGTAATAAATGTAATAACAGTTTGGATTATTATTATTATTATTTTATTTTGAGATACATGATTGTAAACGTAATAATTATGCTCTGGAAATTAGACGAACATTAGCACTTGAGAGCCCATCTTGTTGGGATATCTTTATTTTTAATTAGGGATAACTACATTCATAGCACCCAACATATCCCTATTTACAAAATCTAGCACGCAGCTGTTATTTTTGAACCGCTGAATCGATGCTTTTATGTGTGTCACGATCAAACTATTGAGAATTTGATAAAAATAAAAATTATGGTTTGGTGTTTTATCATGAATTTGATATTTGAGTAAGAATCGAGAAATGGATGAAAGAGGGTGCTAGATTTGTAAATAACAATATTTTAGGTGCTATGTATGTATTTGAAATTATTTTTAGTCACAGGTATAAATTTATTTCCCCTGAAGTTTGTACGTTCAATGAAAATAAATGGGAATCAATACTGACAGATGAGCATGTATGAGCTTTCTTATGAAAATAAATGGGAATCAATACTGACAGATGAGCATGTATGAGCTTTCTTTGTTGAATAGAAAGTATATCTGAGTAAAATTGTTTGATTTGGAGAATCTTTCCTTCTATTTGTTGAGGTTTTTCTATGATACAAGGCTTTAGCGATTAATTTTTTTACCTAACTGGAACGTTTGTGATCAAAATATGAAGTTGATATATGAGAGATTAATGACAATTTTGGTCACAACTTTTAGTAGTTTTATCAATTGAATCAGTACTAATTCAGTTTGCCGTCTAAGAATTGTTTTTACAGTTTATTTTTGTGAAATTCAAACCACAACCTCAATTAAATTGGTCCACATGAGACACCCATAGCTCTGCTAGGGTTCCTTTCTTCACTTGCGGTGGCCGCTTTCTGTTCCTTTTTCTCCTCTGGCGGTTGCCGGCGGCCCCAGTACTCCTCCCATGAAATCCCCTCCCTCCTAAGGGACTGGATGGCCCTCTTAAACAAAACGCACTCCCCTCTCCACAAATTTCTTTTGGGGGGGTTTCTTCCCTTCCTGAATCTTCTCTTTTAGGAGCTCCTCTCTCTTCCGTCTTCTCAGGACTTAGATTCTGTTTCTTTTGCAACTTCTTTTCCTCTCCTCCCACCTCTCTTTCGCACCCTTCGGTTCTAGTGAATTTTAATTGAAAAAACCTTAAAAACCTTCTTACCTCTCAAATCCACAAACCTTCTCCACTTATCCTTAATTATGTTCATAGTGAAGAAGAATCTGTTGCTTTCTCTGAAGCAGAAATTTTAGAAGGTGCTAAAGATTGGGATCTCTTGCTTGTGTTATTGACAGAAAACCTTTCTACAGGGTGCTTTTGGAAGCTTTAAAAAAAACCCAGACCTTAAAAGGTAACCATTAACTTCTCTCTGAATAAATGGTTTTTTCTATTGAAATTTTCTTCTCCAGAGGACTTTGAATCGGTTTCATCAGGAGGCCTGTGGATTTTCCTTGGAAAATCATTTATATTGCAAAAATGGATGCTAGAATTCAACCTCTCAAAAAGAAGTTTACCTAAATCTTGTATTACCTTCGTCAGAGTATGTATACAAGTGCAAAATAGTACTGTTTTTCCAGTGATATTAACCTGAAACTCAAAGGGAAAGATTTATCTTTAAAACTTCAAAATTAATGGAAACCTAGTCATTGCATAGGTTGTAATTTTTTCTTTTATAATGGCAATGCCTGCCCCATTAACTCTACTTTTCCTACCTCCATCCCGATCACCTCACGTCGGAGAAGCAGCAGCAGGGCTCCAAGCGACTTCCAAGGGTCGAGCCAGCATCCGCCCCCCGGCCTCTTCTCCCAACACATCTAGTAGCTTTTTGAACCCATCCCCTTCCTCCAAGAAGCTAACCCATTCCAACTTGTCCCAGCATCCTTCGATCCTATTAACCCTATCACTCATTGTTCTTCTATCTCTTCCATTTCCTCCTCCATCCCAAACCTGAACTCTCCAAATGACCCTTCTGTTCCGCCCGCCCACATCCTTGAGTTAACAAATATTTTATTATTGACATTTTACATAAAAAAGGCTTCCTCACCTTTTTATTGAATGGGTGCATTAATGCATCACTGATGTAAACTTCTCAGTTTGGACGTGAGAGGCTATTTTCCTTCCTTTACTGGCTTAAGACAAGATTGCCCTCTCTCCCCCTATTTATTTTGTATTGTCATGGATTGATTTTGAAATTTAATTGATCATAGAATCAAATAACAATCTTTTCATTCCTTTGAACCTTAACATGAATCACCTCACCCTTTGAATATGGATGACCTGATTATCTTTGAAGAAGATTCTCCTCTCAATCTTTGGAATATTAAGGGTCTTTTGGAAACCTTCTACAAAGCTTCTAACTATAAGATCAATCCATCTTTACATGCGTTCAAACCATACCTTAAATGCTAGAGCTCTTTAGACATCTTCGATTTTGGTTCCTCTCAAACAAGTTTTACTTATCTCTGGCTCTCTGTCTCTGACCATAGACCCAAGCTGCTAACTTTTCAAAATTTATTGGATGAGCGTAGGCTTGTCCTGGAGGGGTGGAAAGCAAAAGCCCCATCTCTTTCAGGTAGGCTGCAACCTATCAAATTCACTATTTGGATATGTGCCAGGAGAGAATTCTTTTTGTGCCAAAAAGTTATATCAAACTTATTCACAGTTGATGTTCAAAGTTCCTTCTATAAGACATCATCAACAATAAAAAGCTTCACATGTTGTCATAGTACAAAATTTGCGAGCCTAAGACTAAAGGGGGTTTGGGACTTCACCCCATTCAAAATCTCTCTTTTTCCTTCATGAGTAAAATAGTTCATTTTATTTGCAAAGACAATTCCTAGCATGCTAGATAGTTCCGCGTTAGCTACATTTCCTTTTGGTAGCACTCTCATAAGCAAACCTCCCATTTGTGGAAAAGGCTGAAAGAAATTGCTGGTCTCATCAAGTCTTTTATTTCATTTTCTATTGCTGACGGTTTCATATCTCCTTAATTTGGGATCCATGGCTCATGGTAAAATCTCTTTGGAATGCTTTTGGTGCGAATACATTGAATCCTATGTAGTACTCTCCTCATGGAGAAATTATTCAATACGGAGTACGTATACAGCTCTACGTGCGGACTCCGATAATATGCCGCCACGTGGAGGTTATTGTGGGGTTATTGACGTGAAATCGTGGAGTAAGAGAGTTAATGGGGGGTTATTGGGAGGTTATTGCAAGGGTTAATGCAGTGGTTATTTAAATGGAACCGCGGAGGTTATGGGGGGTTATTGAGGGTTTATTGCGGCATTGTTGGAGTTAATGCCCAATAACTCCTCAATAACCTCCCAAATAACCTCCGCGGCTTCACTCTAATAACCTCCGTTTCACTTAATTTTTTTTAGGTGGGCCCGATATAACACACATAGTGGTATATTATTGGAGTCCCCACGTAGAGCTACGTACTTACTCTGTATGAAATAATTTCTCCTCCTCATGACAGGCTCAATAAATTCATTTACTCTACATGTTGGATCTTTACTTCCGCAAGTTCTTTGCTTTCTCACAATAAAAAAATAATGCTTTTTCCCACTAATGTAGCAATAGATAAGCTCATTTGGAAGGAGCGAAAATCCCCCTCATTAGATGTGATTTGCTATCATCTTTATCAAGCATTCCTCTCCCCTAATTGGGTGAACATTAATTGGCATAAAAATTATGCTCTTCGATATTCCACTTACTAATGGTGGGCTATTCAAGGTGCATTTATGATGTGTTGTATTTGTTAAATTTTTGTAGTTTTAGGTGGGGAGGTAAAAACACGAAAAAAAGATGTGAGCTAAACACACCCATGCCCAAGGTCAGCGCGCGCCCACACTACCCCTTGATGTGTGAGTGCTTAGTCACACGTTTTGATGGTTTTAGCATAGTTTTTGAGTTAGTTCGGTGCGTAATTCTTATAAAAGCTTCAAAGATCATGCGAGATCAAGGAGAGAAGAACAGGTGACATGAGAAGAGTATAGTGCAGTGAGCGAAATTGAGGAGAGCGAATACATTGAGGGAAATTGTGAGATTCTTGTGAGTTTATTTTATTTCTTCCGTTGATATTGTGAAGTGTGTATAATTGTTTAATTGAAAGCGGGAGGAATATTGTGGAACGAGGGATGATTAATTTGGTTCGATTTTTCTTAACTGTGTAAAATTTCTTTTCTATTTGCAATGCAAGATATCTTCTTTCCCTTTACAATGTGTAGTCACTAAATGCAATCTCCCTTGAATTAGGATCTAGGGAATTTATATTTGATCCCTGATTTTGTAAAAACTTTTTTACATTCAATTGCAAGTTAATATGTTAACCTTCTTTGCTTCATTTACTTCTAAATTGGCCACTTAGAATGTTAAAATGGGTTGTGATTTAGTATTACGAGAGTAGGCTATTGGAACGATTAGGTTAACATACATTATTTTTGGAGACTAATAATATTGATGTTAGAATAGTGCAATTATTTGGAGAAATAAGGAAACATGACAATTTTTGTATGATTAAGGGAACTTAATTTTAACATGAAATCCCAATACTTACGAATTTGAAAGAGACTAAGGAGTAGGGTTGTTCCTGATTGTTAATTATCATAGGGTTAAATGGATTGATCTAAATTTTTTTGGTCCGGTTCAAGGGAGATTATTTCATTTGCTTGATAACCTCTCTCTCCATATTACCATGGGATTTTGAAAAATAGGATTATTCACTTTAAAAATTCACAAAAACTTCAGACTTTCAAGATAAACTTACCGCTAGTAAATTAGAACTTAGCTTGTTATAAAAATTAAGTTTACTGTGGGATCGATACACGAACTCTAATCCGTATATTATTTGAGCAACATGTATACTTGTGTGATTGTCGCGTGCTTCACAACATATCAGGCATCAATTTAAAAGTACTGATGCATTCTTGTTAAGGAACATTCACTGCACTTCTAAATACAGTCTTTGTTACTTTGTGAAAGAAAATAACAATCATTTATTATTCTCATTCAATTTTTCTAATGCTATCTTCAAGAGCTGGTTACCGTGGATGGCTGCCTTCCTGCTAAGTCATTCTCTTCTCCAGGTACTAGGTTATATTCAATATTTGCCTATTTGTCACAAAATACACAAACATTTCTATCTTCTATCCATTCACTGCATTGTTTATCATATTTGGAAGGAGAGAAGTTCAAGGAGATTTGGAAATAATTATGTTAATTGTTCGATATTTCTTTACAAAATTATAATTGCTATGGGAGCAAAATTCACAATTTCAAAGAAAACCCACATTTGGGATGTCATTCATAAGGAACTCTTCTAGCTTATATTTTATTTTTTACTTTTTGCACTTATTTTTAAAAATGTTGCATTTGCACTAGAAGTTAGGCTTTGGTTCTTGCAACATGCAATATTTCCTTGGCTGGTTTTGGTGCCATGAAGGTTTCATTTCTTCATAGACGCAACAAAAGTAAATGGAGACTCTTCTTATCTGTTTGCTGTTATATTACTTTTGAATCATTATATTGTGCAAGGATGTTTTACTTCAGTTATTTCCTTCTGGAGAGTCATGATGATTTAAAAGCTTTCAGAATCTTTTGGTTCACCTGTTATGCCATATCATATTATTGCTCAGAATCTTCACATCGGATCTCACTAATTATTTTTGCATCTGAGCCCATTGATTGTATTTGTTAGTTGGTTTTGCTTCACACGTCTTTATATAGAGAAGTTATTTCATACGGACAACACATACATCTCTGCATGCGCTGTCCGATCTCGGCCGTCGATTACACAACATTTTTGTTTTTTGTTTTTTTGAAATGAGACCCACCGAAATACAGGTTTGCTACGATCACGGTCGGGATCGAACAACACATGCATCTCTGCATGCACTGTCCGTATAAAATAATTTTTTCTTTACATGTGATATTGATTTTACTTTATTTTTGTTAATTGGTTTTTGCTTCTAAGCCATCATACATTGTACTACCTCTCAATCACACAATATAAATAGTCTTTTTTAGAAGTGAATTTAATTATAATAGTGCACACATTACATATGCTAAATCTTGAACTGAAACTTTTCAAGTTGAAAGTTTGATCTTTCGACAAACAAATTAAAACTTTGCATCACAATCACATTCATGTATGTTTGAAAAGGGAAAAAAGTTTTTGAAGGTCAAATGAATCTGCGCTTCTGCAAAAAAAAAAGTAAAATAATTTTTCATTTTCTATTTATATATAAAATATAAAAATATTAGAATATGTTCCACATTTTTTAATTGAAATAAAATAAATTCTTGAAATAATTACGCAACATCTTTTGATATTTTAACTAATTATACATAGCAAATTAATCAAATAACATTATTAATTCTCTATGATTATCATTAATTCGTGAATAGTTATCATTGTGATTAAGCCCAATAAAATTTTATGATATTTAATAATTTTGAATGGTACAAAGATAACTAACAACTTAAATAATATAATGTTAACTGAGTTAATATATAAGGCATTGATAATTTTTAAATTTGTTCATTAATAACCATTTTAATAATAATTTAATAAATTACATATTAAATAAAAATATTCATGAAATACTTTTTAACTTAAAATCTCAAACATTTATATATAGTTTAATTTAATTATATTGAATTTTTAGCATGATCAATATTTCATGTTTTTGATATTTTAATATATTTCTTGTTCAAGCATGCTCATGTTATAGGTCACTGCTAGTTTTGAAGAAGGTCATGCCATGTATCATAGCAACAACATATACTCAATGTTGATTACTAGGAGTAAAACAGAATTATCCAAAGATTATGTACATCTTGTTTATGCATTCAATCATGACATATCAAGGGCCAACGAATCATTGGGTACTATTTTTCCCATCACGGCCCACATAACAAAAGTGTGGCCCACATTGATACCATCAATCAACCTTAAATCATGCCATTCATTTGCAAGTATTACACAGTATTTATGTGTTCACAATTTTTCTGTAATTTTAAAAACTACTGTTTCTGTAATATTATTTGAAACAGCTTCACGATTCCTTGATTATTTTCCTTGAACATTCTAAACTTCTATAGAAGAACATGTAGTATTCTTATGTTTCAGCATAACAAAACAACTAGACTTAAGAGCTGTTTAGTTTGCTGCAAAAATGAGTGCACTGCACATCTTTTTTACAAGTTCACAAAATTTGAGTGTTTGATATTGTAAAATTATAATGTATTTGAAATTCATTATCTAATTCATTTTTAAATGTATTTGGAATTCAATGGATTGAGGCAAATTTCAAATACACCTTTTTTGTGAAAAGTGTTGCACAATGCCACCTGCCACCCGTAGCCGTTGCCAGTTGGCTACGACTCTCCTGCTGGCTGCCGCAGTCGTTTGTTCATCTCCTCCACCATTTGCTGCCAACCGCCGTCAGCCATCAGCCGCCACTCAATTATTTGATCACGGCCTGGTCCAGAGTACAATGCCAAACCTGCAAACAAGAAATGTCATCTACTTTGATATAGGAGATTTTGGCTTCTCATACGCTGGGAGCTAAATCCAAACATGAAAAAGCAAGAAGATACGTCGAAGAAAAAGTTGAGCCAGTTTAGTCGAATCAAGTCCATTTCTGCTACAGAAACAGCTCTATAGTTAATAGGAACTTTTACAAGGGTCTAAATGTTGAGCCCCTTGGATTATAACAATTTCAGATCATCTCCATACATCATATTAAAGAAAAACGAATGTGCTTTGTTCATATACACATTTTTACATTTATGAAAATGTGTATATACATAGATACATATGGCATAAGTATATATATTAAAGTGCATGCTATGTTATTCTATTTATTATCCATAAATATTATATACTTTGATATATACTTTACACTTTAGATTAATTGACTTGAAAGATTTTCACGAAAAAAAAGTATCCATGCATCCTTTCTTCAAAATGCTCCCATTACGTATCGCTGAGAGATATAGAGTAAGATATACTTCTTTTGGCTCCAGACTCCGGTCATCACCATCATCATCAGCCTTATCCTAACTATTTGGCACTGAATTTATGAATTCTCTCTGCTTAATTCTTTTAAAGTGCTACATTAGGTTTTAGCTTTTAACTCTATTTTGTACAAATTTTCTTCTGCAACCTTTAGTCATATTATCATTGATTTAGCACTTTCCCTCAATCCTTCAACAATAATTCTATTTATTTTCTCTTTGTTAAAAATATTTTAAAAATTGGGGATTTACATACTACTAGACAATTCTTATATATTAACATATCAAATACTTTCTTCAAAACTCATTCAACTTCCTCGCAAGTCCCCGCGATCCTCTCGTTGTAGTCCCAGCTCAGTCGGATTGCAATTGTATTGCAAGGGTACTGTATGCCATGATTCATTTTTGGCATTCCAGGTGTTATTGGATGGCAAGGTTCAGTGCCGAAAGTAAGGGTATGCAATTCTATTGCTGCTTCCCAATTAGCTCTAATTGCACCGGAATTGCAAGGTTTGGTGCCAAAGGCTATGGACTCCTATCTTCACAGTCATTGATTTCTCAAGAATCAAGAGCTCTGATACCAATCTGATTCGATCCGACACAGATTCCCACAAAATTTAGGGGTAAAGTGAATATTTCTCTTCAGTAATTGAAACAACCGAGCACGAATACGTAAGATAAATACCTACAATTCTAGAGGTAGACGATCTCTCCCAAATCCTACAATTCGAGAGGTAGAAAAACTCTCCAAAAACCTAACTATAAGACTCAAAGACAGCAATATCATGTATAGCCCCAACCCAAAACATATTAGCCTTCTTTATACTAAATGATAATAAATAAAAGAGGCTAAATTACCCTTAGACACTGATGTAACAATTTCTTCCTAGAGAACGCCCTTAGGCACTGATGTAACAATTTCTTCCTAGAGAAAGAAGATCACTAGAATAGCACGTCATTTGACAAGCGAAAACTCTCTTTCTTGGCATCCTGGTGATTAACAAAAGGTTGGCAAATACATCTGCTACTAATCTTAGAAAAACCTTCAAAGCTTGAGGAGCCAAGGATTAACAAATAAAAAAGAACTTGGCTAAAGATTCAGGTACTACAATTTTTCTTTTCAATGGCAATGAAAAAATCACATAAAATATTTAACAAGGCCTCCAACGGTTTTAGTTTTTAAACTTCCATACATTGATGAATTATTTTAACATCAACTAAAAAAAATATTTTCTAAGTTTCTAATACCTAATCAAGCAAGTTGACAACTAATATTCGATCACAAATAATGCAAAAGACATTTCGCCTTCTGTTTGTATAACACCTTCAATGCCTTTTTCTTTTTTAAAAAAATCCATTTTCAAAATACAAACCCTTGATGTCAAATCGACAAGAGTTATAAAGTTGGCAAGGTCTGTGATGCAAAGAATATTTGAAAGAAATCAAGTAAAACCATAGACTCAATCGTCTGTGGCAAGCAAACATAGTTGATAAGATCTAAAGCAACAAAATGAAACTATTCAAAAAGCCTATGATGGGCATACCTTTTTCACATCATAATCAGAATGGTCTACTTTCATAATTGACCCAAGTTATCATTTTCATATGTAAATGCTTCATACACCAATCAATCAAGGTGATGGCCGGTCAACAACAAAATCTCAACCGGATGAGATCCTATTTTAAAATGCCCCCAAATCCCATAGTAAATTACTCTGGGCTAAATAAAAATACCAAGAACAAAAATAAAAAAAAAGTACAAATTTAAAAATATTCAAGTGAAAGCTACCTACCTAGGCTTGAAGCTACAATCCATTAATCCTCTGCACCTGTTTAGGAGGATGATATATTTAATATGATCTGAGCTCCCAAAAAAATCAATATCATAACAAATTTAAATCTACAATCATTCTCGACAATCCAATGCCAATAAAAAACATGGCACATATCCTTTGACATCGTGATTTTTTCGCCAAATGACACCACTAAAAGGTAAAATTATAATCGAAGCTCTATAGCCAGATAAATAGTTATAAAATAATACCATTAAATTAGTAACAACCAAAGCCTACAAGTTCCCCAAGAGCTAAATCCCTAAGCAATGAATTATAGATTGCATTTAATAGAGTATGAAGGCCTATGTTACCTAAGACTCTACTTCAAAATATCTCTTACACAAACATTCACCCCACGTCAATAAGGCCCATTTGAACTACACAAAATATGAATACTGACAAAGCTCCTTTGATCAGGTTGGGTCAACTATCTAGACTATGTAAAACAAAGGCCCATAGCAACCCAAGATGACAGAATTAGGAAATTTTGATCAAGTTCATCATCATTCTCCTATCATCCGCTTTAAGCTAATTATAATATTTTTTTTAATTCTTAAACTTAAAATTGTTACTTGACGCAAGTGATTCCACTCTCGTCAAATCTCGTGAATCGCGAGATAGCAATCCCACAAGTTTTGAATAGGAATTGATGATTGCAGTGATTGCGGGAGTGGATATTTGGATATTTGGCCAATATTTATTTTACTTCCTTCTTTATTGTTTTTCTATTTCTCTATTACAAATTTGGTTATTTTCTATTTGTGGACTTTTATATATTTTTTAGTTGACTGTTTGAGACTTTAGTTGTGGATTTTATAAATTTTGAGAGACTTTTCTCTAACTTCTGCTCTCCGAAATATCATATCATCTTTCTATTGCAAGTAGTGTGTCTGTAGCTTGCTCATGAACAGGTGGTAGATCCCCCTTAATATTCACACCTTGTCGTTTTGCTATTTGCCCGCAGTTTTCAGGCAGACAGTAGTCAAAACCGCCGCCACCTACTATTTGCAACAAGAAACTGTCAATTTCCCATTTCTGATTTGCTGTCTAGCCACAACTTGAGTCAAATTTCAGACGACATCCGTCCTCCCACTTCCGTACCCATCATACAACTTCCTTAACACCTTTTGATGTTCTCTGACACCCTCCAGAAGCCATAAAACGATATCATTTGGTACCATAGCTTGACAAACCCTAGTTTTTTTTAGGGATTTGTTTTTATATTCTAAATACAAAATTCACAAAAAAGAATTTATCTCTATCACATACCCTAATAATTCCACCGCAATTGCTGACCTTAACTTTAAATTTTCAAAAGTCAACTTTCCTAAGTTCACCAAAACTTTGCCATGACACTTACCTTAAATACCTAAGTACCCGATCAACCTTGTTTTCCTAAGACAAGAAACCATGCCGTCAAGGAGACTCTCAACGAGGTTTCTAGAAATACACTGCAGAGGATATGCAACAGGAAATCCCCTAATTGCAACAGAGGTTTGTCACCTTTGAGAGGAGACACTGATGAGGTTAACTATAGCCACAACAATGACTCGATAAATTAACGAGAGGCAGTGAATCTCTTCCATCGGGAAGTTTCCAGTGACGAAAAACTAATATCCCAGTGATTTGAAATGGAATATCAGGTAACTTAGAATCTTGAAGCAAAGGTGGATTTATTGAATTTCGATAGTCATATGGAACTGGACAAGTTTATTGAGTGTCTAAATAGTGAAACAATTTTATAGCACTGCCATTATCGAGCCCAAAATGTCGAATGTGAAAAGTGGAGGGGTGTGTTAGGTAGTCGACAGTCAACAAAAAAATTTTGTCGAAAAAATCATGACATAAATTTTTTAAATCATTTTGTAAATGTTCGGGGTCCCCTGGAAGTGACGTGTTGTATGACCTAAATACGGTGAAAAATGTGCAAGAGCCACTACATCGAAACCCATGTATAGTGTTAAATAAGCAAAGTTCCTACATTATGAACGAATGCAAGCAAAGAAGTTATCCATGAAACTATCATTAAGATAAAATCTGGGAATATAGGTACTATTACAAGTAAATTGATGAAATTAGTAGATATTATGATTCATAGGAAGATAAATATTTTATGCATTCACGAAACTAAATGATTTGGAGAAAAAAGACTATGAAGGTTGATAGCTTAGATTTTAACTTTAATATTCAGATACGAGTCGCATTAGAAATGGTGTAGGTGTTTATATATAAGAATTTGAAAGATAATGTTGTAAAAATTAATAGAATTGGAGATAGAATTATAACTCTATAAATTGTTGTTGATACTAAGATTTTTAATGTTATAAGTGCTTATGCTTCTCAGTAGGCTTAGATATTGGTTCAAAAAAAATTAGAATGACCTTGAAGAATTAATATAACTGATACTTTTTGAGAAAAAAAAATTATTGAAAGAGATTTGAATGGACATGTTGGTAGAGTGGTAGAAGATTTTAGAAATATTCATGATGACTATAGTTTTAGGAATATTAATTGAGTGGTTAGAACCATATTTGATTTTGCTTTAGCTTATGATTTTGTTATTGTTAATACTTTATTTAAGAAAATATGAGCATATTATTACTTATAAGAATGTATTTAAGTTAATAAGTTATACTTTAAAATTATGAGAG